ATGGACAATTACAAAAACCAATGATTTGTTGAGCCTAAGTCCCTCTTCTCAAATACTTATTGATTTGGATCCTATAAATAAAAATTGAAAAATAAATATTAAACAACCCTTTCGCAGAAAGCTGAAGTGCTAAGCTGATAACTACTTTTTTTAGTTTTATTTAAATATGATAAACATAACAATGACTTTATACATAGATCTACGTACAGTATGAATAAGATTGGCTCAAAGGCCACCTAGGTTGGCTGCTACTGTACAACAATCAATTTAAAATCAATTATTTTTCTAAATAGGTATAGACATTCTCTGAATGCTATGCGTGTAGTCGTGTGTTGAAACGCTTATTCACTCATTTACTATTTTGTGATCACTGTATCTCAAGAACGACTAAACCTAAGCACTTAAAACTTGAACCGGTAGTTGTATTAGTGGATCTGCATTTAGACTCCGCAAGAAGAAGCTAAACGTTCAAATAAATCAAAAATGTAAAACGTGGCAACCCCATAGGTTAAAAAAAGTGCTAGAGTTAAGAACTGGAAAGTGAAATTGCTATCAAACATTACACCACTAAAACCTACCAAGTATAGTAAAGAAAGTGTACATATTTGAGGGAAATAATCCATAGGTATGTTTCATTTTCATTTTGTGTGTTATTTCCGAAAATGGCATTTTTACGTTTTCAAAGAGTGCGGTCCAAACCCTGGTCCTGTTGTCTTGTACTATCTAGCGTTGACCTTTGATAGTACTAGTCCAATTGAGAAATAGCATCTAGGTCTAGAAACGATCTCGCTTAAGAATACCCCCCCCCCTAAACACCTATTTTTCAAACAACTATACGAAAGAAATTGGAGGATGGTAATGCATATATGTTACAACCTCATGAAACTTTCGTCTAAAGAAAGGTGAGCTGGTTGGTTCCATAAAATCCTTGAAGTGAAAGACGACACCTTCAAAATTTTGTTTTAGGTCAAGTTTACATCTATTCTAATTTGTATTCATTTAATTAATTATTTAGTTGCAAGTGGGGCTTTATTAATAAATATACAGATTTTCCTGGTTCTACATTACTTTTATTAACTTCACACAATACTTGATTTACAGATTACATGTTCTCTATTTGAAGGCCAAAATCAGAGAGAGCGAATTAACGGTTTCGCTCCAAAATCCATAAATAAGAAGAACAAAGAATAAACTCCACGTCATTGCTTATAAAGTACAAAAGGAACAACATAGAGTAATGAGCTATTACAATATAACACAACTTATAACACTTCCCTCTTTGACAAAAATAAAACTTATAACACTTCCTTCAAACAAAAAATCAAAAACTTTCCCCTTATATTATTTTTAACTTTTCCAAAATTAATATTTATACAGTGTTTATAAAAGTTATTCAATTCAAAAATTTAAATTACAAATTTATACATCGTTTATTGAAGTTATTCAATCTAATCCCTTAATAACAAAAACATAGTGACAATTTATTTATTCATTGAACAATGCTAAATGAAGTTATTCAATCTAACCCCTTACTAACAAAAACATAGTGACAATTTATTTATTCATTGAACAATGCTAAATGAAGTTATTCAATCTAACCTCTTACTAACATATCATTTATTTACTCATTGAACATTTCTAAATGAAGTTATTCAATCTAACCTCTTACTAACAAATCATTTATTTACTCATGGAACAATGATAATTATTGAAGTTATTCAATCTAACCTCTTACTAACATAACCATACTAACAATTAATTTAAAGATGAAACTGCAAATTGAAGTTATTCAATCTAACTTCTTACTAGCCTACCATACTAACAATTTATATAAGAAATTAGTAGACAAATACATTTGATCAGTTTCCACTCAGTAAGTTATTAGTTAATGTGAAAGTTACAACAATTAGGCTTATAAATCTTCAGATTTAATTTTCTTTAAAATGCAACACAAATAAACTATCTCCTTTAGTAGTTTCTCCCTTTCTAGCAGGGTTATTCTTTCAATAGCTTTAGGCTACAAGATTACATAAAAATTCCAAAACACAACCTTAGGCTTAGGCCTATAACAAAACTAACACCAAAATAGGCTTAAAGAAACTAGCAGTTTACTTCTCCACTGCATTTTAACATAGGCTATGCATAGTTACAAAACATTTAGTTATAGCATGAAAATATTAAAACTGGAAGGCACTTCCTAAAATGCCAATTAGGCTATACACGGTTACAATTCAACAACGGAAAATAATCAATTCTTCAATCAAAATTAAATTACACTTGGCAAATATAAGTTTTAAAACATCTTTAAGTCATACTTCTACTCTTTATCTAGAAACCTCAATGGTTTTTTTATCTCCCTTCCTGACCTTGACACATATCTAGGTGATTTAGCTACAACTTCTGGAGATTTACTTTGATTTGGGCTCAATGTACTAACTGGTGACAACTCCTTAGAACTATTATCAATAACTGGTTGAACAATAGGCGATTTACTTGGGCTGGACCTACTTGAATTACCTCCTATTCTGTAATCAACCAAATCATCATTGCTCTGACTAGACCTATTAGAATAGCCTACGTGTGCTCTGCTAGTGACACTGCTTGGACCTAACCTTCTGCGTAAATAGCGACTATTTCTTTGATATACTTGACCACTGTCTAGCTTGACTATGTAAGATCTAGGTACATTTGCAAACCCTACTATGTGACCTGGTACCCAAATGCTCTTTCGTAAATCATACACAAACACTAATTCTCCTAAATTAAACTCAGCTTTAGGCTTTACAGTTCGGTTATAATAGTCTTCAGATTTACTCTGTTTATCTAACAATGTTTCTTTCACCTCAGTAGGTACCCTTGCGTTTAATAACCTCTTATTGATAGGAACCTTAGTTCTTAATGTACGATTCATTAAGGCTTGAGCTGGACTAACTCCATTCACCGTAGGCGTATTACGCAACTCTAAAAGAGCGATTTGGAAATCGTCTTTTGACTCTCTACACTTTTTAACAAGTTTCTTAACTGTTTGTACAGTCCTTTCTACCTGCCCGTTGGATTGAGGGTACAAAGGACTAGTATTAATCACTTCAAAACCCCAATTGTTAGCAAATTCTTTAAATTCAAACGAACCGAATGGGTTATTGTCTGCTACCACCTTAAGAGGAATTCCATGAACAGAAAAAATCTTTTTCAGATGAACTATTGTTTCAGATGCACTCTTTGACCTAATTTCCACACATTCGACCCACTTAGAAAAGTAATCTATGAGAAGAAGATACAAAGTAGGCCCTATTTCAAAAATATCAACAGCTACTTTGTGGAATGGCAAGTCTGGTATATCATGTGATATCATTTTTTCTTTTGCTTCTGCATTCATGTACTTATTACAAATTTGACAATTCATAACTAGCTGCTCAATGTCTACCGTAATACCTGGCCAATAAATCAATTCTCGAGCCCTAGCTTTTGTCTTTTCAATGCCAAAGTGGCTTTCGTGTAACAACTTTAACATACTTGATCTTAAGCTTAAAGGTACTACTATTTTCCCATCTAGAAAAACAAGACCCTCATTCACTATTAAGTCATTTCTCTTGCTAAAGTATACCTTTACACATTCAGGAATCTTTTGCTTACTAGGCCAACCTTCTTGAAAATATTTACATACCAAACTTAAGGCTACATCATTTTTTGTTGCTTCCTTAAACTCTACCTTCTTACACTCAGATATAGCTAACTCATCAAGAATTACAACATTATCTACCTTGCCCATCAGTTCATTGATAGGCTGACAACTATCTTCCTTTGAGAGCTGGTCCGCCTCATTAAGTTTCTTAGTCCGAGAAAATAAGTCTGGAATTACCATACTTTTGCCAGGGCGATGCTTGATTGTTAGGTTATACTTGAGCAACTTAAGCTTAAGGCGTTGAAGCCTAGGCGACATTATCTTATGCATAGGTTTTAACATGAGAGACTCAAGGGGTTTACAATCATTATATACAATAAATTTATGCCCGTACAACAAATGATGATACTTACGAACAGCTATTACGACACTTAACAACTCTTTCTCTACCTGAGAGTACTGAATTTCTGTAGGCGTAAGACTCTTAGAACCAAAGCTGACCGGTTTGTCATTTTGAATTAAACAAGATCCTACACCATCTTTTGACGCATCTGTGTGCAGTTCTAACTGCTTACTACAATCAAAGGGCACAAGCACAGGTGCCGTTGTTATGACCTTCTTTAGATCTTCTATACACTTAGAATGCCCACTTCTATACTTCTATACCCACTTGCAATGATTCTTAGACTGCGCCATATTCTAATTTGTATTCATTTAATTAATTATTTAGTTGCAAGTGGGGCTTTATTAATAAATATACAGATTTTCCTGGTTCTACATTACTTTTATTAACTTCACACAATACTTGATTTACAGATTACATGTTCTCTATTTGAAGGCCAAAATCAGAGAGAGCGAATTAACGGTTTCGCTCCAAAATCCATAAATAAGAAGAACAAAGAATAAACTCCACGTCATTGCTTATAAAGTACAAAAGGAACAACATAGAGTAATGAGCTATTACAATATAACACAACTTATAACAACATCTATGTACACAATGCTCAACAAATACCGAAACAGTTTTTACTTCTTTCTGCATGATTGGCTAACCAAGCTGTACAGTCCCGTGTGTCCTAAAAGTAATGTTACACATAACATGTTTTACTTCTGTTTGAATTTTTCTGTTTCAGATTTTAATCTTCCAGACTTCCTGAAAGAAACTCCACGTTAGAATCCTAAGAAATCGTTTTCTATTCTAACTGCTGCTCACCTTTCAGGCTAACTCTATAGCACTTCCATAACACCCTCAATAAACCACCAATAAAAGTAGTTGTCTAATTTTACTACACCCCCGTACTCCTCTGTTTTTGTCACGGTTTTTGAGATGCTGTTCAGAAAGGTGTTGGTTCAGTACATCTCCTAAGGTGTTCTGAGGATGACCAAGGTGAGTTAGTTACATTTTTAACTATCATTTTTATAATTTATTATGAATCCTAATGTCCAATGATCCCAATACTGATTAACTAGGTGAAAATCACATGAATATTAGGGACAAAAACTATGTAGTTTTGGAGTCATCGCATAGGGTATCGTTAGTAAATAATAAATATGAAGTCAAATGTTAAATACACGTTATCCATCTTAAAATTTTAAAGTTAAGTATTGAATGTATGTTTCCACATTTCATAATAGTACTGTTTACAATATATATCTTCCTTCTGCTACATAATCCATCTTGTTATACAGGGTGTTGAAAATGTCTGGAACCAACATTATATCTGGTGAGTGGTTAAAGAAAAACAACTGATATTTTGTGTACGGATATACTATGGTTTTACCTATCTTTTGGTGCCTTATGAAATTTTTTACCACTTATAGGGAACGTCCTGTGGAGGATGCAGTAAAAAGTTTTAATGGAAGCATATGGTAAATGATACATCATTTTAAAGGTCATTTTTTCTGAGTAAGGAGCCACGAGTTTCATCTCAAAAGGACCACCCTAGCAAAAATGGCGACTGTTTTTTTTACTGCATCCTCCACAGGACGTTCCACAGGATTGGGTTTTTAAATTTCAAACAGTCGCCATTTTTGCTAGGGTGGTCCTTTTGAGATGAAACTTGTGGCTCCTTACTCAGAAAAAATGGCCTTTAAAATCATGTATCATTCACCATAGGCTTCCATTAAAACTTTTTACTGCATCCTCCACAGGGCGTTCCCTATAAGTGGTAAAAAATTTCATAAGGCACCAAAAGATAGGTAAAACCATAGTATATCCATACACAAAATATCAGTTGTTTTTCTTTAACCACTCACCAGATATAATGTTGGTTCCAGACATTTTAAACACCCTGTATACATCTTGATACTTGATAGTTGGAATAGTTAATTGATTCATATTGAATATATAAGTTAATTTAAAAAATACTTTTTATATGCAGTTTTAAGACATGTAACCAAATCCATGTACTTATTTAATTTCATGAGTGTCAATTTCGTAGAAGTCATTCCAAAGTCGTGTATTAATGCTATATTACTCATCACAGTTTTAGCAAGATTAAATCCTTGAAATTCCATGGGATTCTTTTGTGTGAGGGATAGGGATATTTAAATTAAAATTCCAGAAGTGTTCTTGGAAGAACGAATGCCATTAAAAGAACCATTTAGATGTGCAGTGGGGTGATTATGAAAGATACGTTTTATGGAGGGGCCTGTTCGGGGAGACTGCTCGCCATATTTCAGACATGTTGAAAATGTCTATTTTAATAGGCAGTGGAAGAATCCACGGGTTGCAATTATCATAAGGACAGCCCGATGTGGGGTCTGTGGAGAGTAAGATTTGGGCTCTGTCGAAATGTATGGGCTCAGCTGGATTTTTTAAACTGTAAAATTCCTCTTAAAACGAGTGTTTATGTGTTGCCAATTATTTTTCTATTATTTGTATTTTTTGTATTTTTCTATTATTATATTGTACGTAAAAACTGTTTAGTGTAGGGGAACATTAGTTTTCTTTTGAATAATCGAATACAGTAATATCACTGTATGGGTTATGATCTAAATATAACACCCCCGCCGCAGCAAAGATGCAGACTAAGCGAATTTCAATTTTCCTGATTGGATTTACATTAAAATGTCTCCTTAAAAATATAACTTTTATTCCCTATTTAAATAGCATTAGTTTTACGAGTACTTAGGTTTTCTGCAACAGGGAGGGTAAAAAAGTGTTTTTTTTTTTTGTAAAATTTTAATATTTTAGTATAAAATAAATGCATTTTCCAAATTTGCTCGAAATATGTTCATAAATAAGCAAACTACAACAGTTCACTTATTCTCAATAAGAATAACATAGGAATTTTAAATTTACAATATTTTGGAATTTTCTCCAAAATCATAAGTAGCATAGTAATGCTTCAATATTCGGGAAATTTGCTTAAAAATAAACTTAAAGAAGGAATAAACAAATATTTCAACCATCTCTTTAAGAAAAAAAAAACAATACTGTTGTTATGCAAAAAATGGATTTTTTCTCAAGAATCGGTTTACAAAAAAGCGAAATTCTTAAAATGTTTCTGTTCACTTTGCAATTTTTTTAATTATATAAAATTACAGTTGTCATTTTCCCCACTTCACCCATTCCGGATGACAAGTGAACAAAACAAAATTCAGTTTCCATGAAAATCGTTCGATTAAATGATTTATTAAGCTTAACTTCGAAAACTCAGGGTCAAAGCTTTGGTTGATACCAAATGGGTTATATAATCTAATTTATTTCTAAAGTCAATGACTCCATCTTATAACGAATGTTCAAATCAGGTGTGTGGAATTGTGAAATAAGTGAATTTTGCCAGTTTGCCATCAATATAAACACTGCGAGTATCTTTATGGTTGTCATGGAAACCAACCATTGTTTACCTTGCAAAACCTCGCCTCAGATCTTTGAAAGCCTGTGGAGCAAAGCCCTAAGTTAATATCGAAGTGGAAATAGTCTTATTTTAGAGTGCACACCAGTAGCAATCTACTAGACTACTGGGGGCAGTGAGGAGTCCATATTGGTGACCGTTACCTCAATATTAAACTTGAATTATGAAATGATGGATCGTATTGTTGATACAAACATGACATACCAGTAAAATAAGCTCTTACAAAGATAAGAATAAGAATATAAATAAATATGTATTTATTTATATGAATGTATTCATTTTCTTGAAAGCAGTATTACAATTCATTACACGGTGTAAAATTATAGACATACATACAACCTACATACACTCATACTAAGTATCTGAGCACAAACATTCAGTATATGTACTTGTACAGATATATTTAAAGAACACTTGAATACCTGTTGTCAGGAGAACACAATCTGAAGAATGACTTGATTTAATTTAATTTGAACTGTAATTAGTAATTTAAAATAGTATAATATATTTAACAAGCTTAAGAAAATACTTTATAATGTCCTACCAATTTACTTTACAATTCGCCCATAAACCAAAGTAGCTAATAAATAGTATGTTTGACAATATAAACACTTTTACCCACAGGTGTAAGGTTGTTTAGGGTGGCGATGATATGGTGTATTAGTATTAACTTTGACTCTGGATACGGCAAAGTTTGGATATTTGAAATTTGAACCTGTGTTCAATGTATAGCTAAGCCAAATGCACTGATGTAGAATAATGCTTTACCTTATTTAGAAATAATTTACAACAACAGAGTACTGTAATCTAATAATATTGTCTATGGTTTCAATAAAAAAGCAACTATTCTAAGCACTATTCTAAGAATTGTTGGGTAAATATCTTTTTATGAATAAAAATACTACTAAATATTAAATACCCTCGCCACAGCAAATCTGCAGACTAAGCGAATTTCCATTTGCCTGATAGGATTTCAATTAAATCTATTTAAATAGCATTAGATTTAACTAGTAGGTGGTAAGTGTTTTTTAGTAAAATAGTAATAGCTTAGTATAAAATAAAAACAAATTTCCAAGTTTTATAAAAATACATCCATAAACAAGCAAACTACAACATTTTACAACATTTTCAATAAAAATAACCAAGGAATTTTAAATGTACAACTTTTTCAATTTTCTCCGTAACCAATAACCGTACAAAAACACTTTAATATTCTAAATTATTTGTTTTTAAGCTCTTGTGAATGGCCTTGTTTTGAGGGACAAAAATAAGTAAAACCCATTTTACCCCGTAAACCCCCCGTAAAAAACGTTACCATAGTCCAATCATGTTGGTTCGCCAGCTCATTCAAGTTTATCCCGCCTTACATCTTCAAACCCAATTTCATCAAAATCTGACAAAAGTTACTCAAGTTGTCACATTCACGGACACATACAGGGTGAATATAAAGTCCCGCACGGGCTTAATATTTTCTAAACGTCAACAGATAAATCAATAAGATTTGGTACATCAACACCACACCTATAAATCTACTTTTTCAAGGAACTATGAATTTTCTGTCATATCATGGGGACGTCCCCCAAGGAGTCACTAGGAAATCTTAAATAGAAGCATAGGTTGACATGCACATCAAATTAAAGGTCTTTACTAGCAGAATATAATGCCGCAAATTTGAACTCAAACGGACAAGCGAGCCAAGAATGACAGTTGTTCAAAGATTCATTTAATTTGCATTGCTATTATAGGGGGCACAGCCCTAGGAATCGGAAGAAAATTATTGTTAAAAAATTGTTAACGTAAGCATAGGTCGATATGCACATCAAATTAAAGGTCTTCACTAGTAGATTACAATGCCGTAAATTCAAGCTCAAAAGAACGCCTGAGTAAAAAATGGCAGTCGTTCAAAGGTTCAAAATGGCAGATTAAAGAAATATTTGAACGGCTGCCATTTTGCGCAGTATCAACCTTTTGAAGTGCGGTATGCGGCATTGTATTCTACTAAAAGAGACCTTTTATTTTATAGCATATTGACCTATGTTTCTATTTAAGATTTCCTTCTGACTCCTTGCGGGACGTCCCCATGATATGACAGATAATTCATAGTTCCTTGAAAAAGTAGATTTTTAGGTGTGGTGTTGATGTACCAAATCTTATTGATTTATCTGTTGTCGTTTAGAAAATATTAAGCCCGTGCGGGACTTTATATACACCCTGTATATGTAAGTATACATGTATAAGTATAAGAATGCACATATATACCGCTTTGAACGGTTGGTGTTTTTGGCTTCTGGGGACATCAAAAGTCAAAATTACAACGGTCCCAAGCCTGTCTTAGCAGGAGAAAGTTGAAAATTCATCCATGAATTTTGCCATAGCAAAAGATAACAACATATATCAATTTAAAATGCTTAGAAAGCCTACTGAAAACAATCTCATCATCCCCGCAAAATCAAATCATCCCTAGCAACACAAAATGGCAACATTCCATTCATATATTAATATACTTATTAACATTCCCATAAATAATGAAGACTTTCTTGAAGAAAAGGAACATATTAAAAAATTAGCAAAGAGTCAGGGATATAGTACTAACTAACTAGTCAGCACTGAGCAGACAGCAGCAGAGTCAGTCCCCAGTCGCCTGCCATCGCCACTAGGTGCGCTGGTGGTTGGTGCGCTTTCGCTTTGACGTTCGCAACAGTTCGTCTAATTGCCACTAGGTGTCGGGAGTTGAATTTCCAGTTATAACCCATACCGTCGTTTAATTTATATATCTATATTATTAATTCTATAAGGGGCAATAAAAAACTGAACATTTTCCAAACAAATAAACCCAACATAGATTTAAAAAAATCACGTTTTTTCAATTTAAACCAGTGTTAGTATGCTGGAAACGCGTTTTTACTTGCAGACACTCGCAGCGAATTTAGAGTAGCTGGTACATGACCTCACCAATTTGCTTCAACCCTAATCGAATTTCATTGGTGATGTGGAAACACTATAAATCCAATTTTTAAAAAGCCGAAAGTCGTGTCTCTTACCTGAGACCGATGATTGGCTTATAATTCTCAATAGTCTCAACCCTCTAGTAGAGATTCCACCTCGTTGAGGCGTTTATACACTAAAGGGGGCAAAAATTACCCTAGATCTACTTTGAGCTACCCTAAAAATTACCCTCAATAAATGTTGATGGTTGTGTTAAATGCTAAATAACCTTGTTAAAATAATATAAATCTTCAAAAAGGTTGTACTTAGCCTAATAAGGTTTCAATATTAATCAATATGTAAAAATATACTCGATTCTCAAAAACTACACGAAAAAAGTACAAAATGTGCGTATTCAGCTCTATGTATATGAAAAATATCGAACCAAGAATTATTAATTATTGTATTAACCAATTACTACTTTTTACGATAATCACTTCATGATACAGCACGGAACTATTAAAGCGTTAATCTATACATACAGTAATTTTTAGACACAATCGGTAAAATAATCCTCGTGTGTAATTCAACTCAACCATATAATTAAATAGCAAGAAAGAAGTAATGAATATTTTATTTTATTATATCGTGTTATGGAATCGAACACAATACAATCTAAAATAGATAATTCACAATACAGTTTTGATAACGATGAGATCAATGATTATGAAAATCATAGCAAATCGATTTAAACCGGTTGAGTCGCATATCACGGGTTTGCCATGATATGTAATGTATATTTTTTCTCAAATTTTGAAGTTTTTCATGTTTCTAGTAAAATTTCTATTGTTTTGCTATCTAACTTTTAGTTTTACCCTAAATCTACCATTACTCTAAACGTTACCCTAAGACTAAATTACCCTAAAAAAGGTAACTAACCTAAAAGAAGCAACACTGGCAAGTGTCAGTTTCAGTTACAGTATTATTATAGCTCAGTCAGTGATGGGTGTCGCACACATTGACGTTCGCAACAGGTCGTCTAACTGATGTGATTGTCTCCAGAGTTGAATTTCGAATTTCCAGTTTTAACCCACCGTCGAACCTTTTCCAAACAAATAAACCTGACAAAGATTTTTAAAAAATAACATTTTTTATTTAAACCAGTGTTAGTATACTGAGTATATATATTTTTTTATTTTCGCACAAAAAAAACACGGGACAACTTAAATACGCTCAAAGCCAAAGGTGGACTAGGAACTGGCGGCGACGGAAAACAACACCGTATCGTAATAACCACGTAAATCAACTTGTTTAAAGACAAAATTAGGTAGGCCTAGTAGTAATTTAGTGATCATATACAAATTATGTTTTCCAGATGAGGTAGGCCTCAGTTACTCATGTAGCACACTCGCACTACCACACAAGCACAAGCGTATGGACTATAGATGTAATTGTAGTTATCTAAAAATGTAGACTTCGGCGAAGGCCTTCTCATACGTAAACATTGAATGTTTGTACTCATACAAATAAAATTACCCAGTCCGGTAGGCCTACTTATTTACGATGCCCCTAGTCGGCCTAGTCCTGTCCTACCCTAGTTAAAAAATGGGCTGCGTCTCGAAAGCCACGAATGTTTATGGCTATAAGCTGGGGAACGAAAGCCACGACAATTAGTGAAGGGTCGAAAAGGTTTTAATCCTGGGGCCGTAAGCCACGACTGCTGTCAGGTCAGGATGGCAGCTCACAGGGAGAACGGGAAATTTAAGCTCCCTCATATTTGTGCGTCGCAAGCAAATTCGTCGGTCCGATCTGAATCCACCGTGCTATAAAGGTTAGAAATAGACATTTGAACTCTACTGCTGTTTTTTTATTCTACTGTCTGGTTATCGTTAGTGTACTGTAGTTGTTTACTCATACAAATGCAATAATTAATTTCAAGCAAATAAAAACTCGGCATAAGCTATTATCGTAGGTAGCACGGTAAAACCTAAACCCTAAACAGTTTAACTTTTTCGATTTTATGTTCTCAGAGGCCAAATTTGTATTAAATCTACTCATTTATTCAATAAAATTGGTTATTAATGTGTGACGGACGATTACTGAAGGGAACTAAGGAAGAATTAACCACCAGGATCATCGGACTGATCACTTTGAAAATATCTTAAAATCATGTTTGTTGCTAGAATACTATTCCAGATGTATAACTTAGGAAACGTGTAACACGTTTAAACATAATTTTTAAATAGTAGGCTACAGTTAGTTCCACCAAAACTGTATTGAAAAGTTATATACAAATATAAGTTACATAAACACCGTGCATGATGTTTTATTATGGTACTTATAACCCCCAGAGGCCTAAACAGTTGCAGGCTCTCCTCTAATTCCAGTAAAAGGTGTTATTAAAACTTGAAGCATATAGGAAAACATTTAACAAAAAAATGATAAATTATCATACAGAACAAGAAACAGTTCATTTGACTTAATTAGCAATTTTTTACAGTCAAACAATAACACATCAGACATAAAAGACAAATCTGGCATATACAAATTAAACTGCAGTTCCTTGTCTAATTCTATACAGACCAAACAGGACGAAATTTTCAAATCAGGTACAAAGAACATATTCAAGCAATTAAATCAAACAACAGAACAACACAAAACTCTACATTTGTAGAACACATACTTTCTACAGACCATACATATAAAAAATTATAACAAAAACATTAACATAATATACATTATTAACAAATGAACATAAAATAAAGTGTCCACATATATACACACTACTAATAAGATAGAGACAAGATTACACACACAAACCACTAATCCTATATTTAACAAAATTATTAGTGTTACAAAAACCAACAACAACTAAACATTCAAACACATGCTAACAAAATTAACAGCTGTATTTAATCATAACATAATATTTTTGAATGGAATTAAGTTAACACCTGAAGATGTCATTATATAGTCGAAACATGTTGTGCAATTTTATTAAATAAAAAAAAGGAGAAAATACCCCCACCGCAGCAAACCTGCCGACTAAGCGAATTTCTATTTGCCTGAATTGGTTATCAATCAAATCTATTTAAATAACATTAGGTTTAACGAGTACCTAGGTTTGCTGCTACAAGGAAACTAATAAAGTGTGGGTTTTTAGTAAAATATTAATAGCTTATTATAAAAAAAATTTTAGACAAAAATAAATCCATAAACAGGCAAACTACATTTTACAATATTCTCCATAAAAATAACATAAGAATTTTAAATTTAATTTTTTTTTACTTTTCTCCGTTACCAATAACCGTACAAGAACACTTTGGTATACTAAATTATTTTTTAAGCTCTTTAATAAGGTTTAGAGAGAAATTAGGAAATTTTGTGTTTTGAGGGTCAAAAATGAGAAAACCCATTTTTACCCTATAAAACTCTCTGTAAAACTCCGTTCCCATGGTCTGATCATGCTGGTTCGCGAACTCATTCAAGTTTATCCAGCGTTACACCTTTAAACCAAATGTCATCAAAATCGGACAAAAATTACTCAAGCTATATATACATATATAACAATTTGAACAAATGGTGTTTCAAACCTGGGGACATCAAAATAGAAAGGTAAATCGGTCCCGGGCCTAGGTTACCGTGCCACCTTAATAGCCACAACAAATTACCCAAATAGCAACAAAATTAACCAACAAATTAATAGCTATAGGCAAATTTGAAAAAAAGGGTATATATATATCGTCAATGATAATATGTTAAACTGATAGGTACCTCTTTATCAAGCTGGTTAAAGCAGTCCACTGATATTCGCAATGGTTCGCTGAGTTACCGAAAATAGTTAATGAAATCGTTGCTTATCTACTACCTAAGCTAACTATTATGTATTAACAGTATATTAAACAAAATAAGTCCACTGATAATATTTCTACCGATGTTTGGTCAAGCACCGCCAGGTTTCGCTACCATATCAACAATATTTGCAACAGTCCGCCCATTCACCGCTAGATGCCACCAGATGCCACTGTTCGCAACAGTACACTTGGTAACCGCTAGGTGTCACTGAAGTCGACTTTAGTAATTCACCGTAGTGTGTTTATTTATAAATTAATTAAATTGAATAACGCACACAAAAAATGTTTTCTTTAGCTGAAAATTAAAACAAAGCAACCTATGCTTACAATATACTGAACACTTTTTTTATTTAAAGTCTTGTTAGTAGCTTAAGACGCCTCTCTATGCGTTGACTCTCGCAATAAGTTTTAGGTAGCTAAAACATGACTTGCCAATCTGGCCATCTGAGCTCAATTTCAACATTGTTTATCTCGTAAATTTTATTTGAAAAGCCGAGAGTCGCATCTCTATCGGAGAGCGATGATTGGCTTATAAGCTCGAACTATATAGTGCCTGTTGTCATTAAGAAGTAATGTGCATGATTCAATGCCATTTGTCTACATTTTTTTATAAAGTAAAAAATAAGTTTGGCTCAGGGACATTTCATTAACGCGCACATAAAAGTCGAACAACACGGCAATCTCGGATGTACAGAGGCTGGAAATCTTCGCCTGATTTATGATAATTATTAATTCATGGTAAAAAAGTCAAGGCAATTTGGTAGGATTACGAGGGTAATTTTGAGTAGGGTAGAAATAGTTATAAAGCGGATTGCTTAAGTCAACTAATGGCGATCAGGATTGGCAATGGGCAATGGGCTGATCAGGGAGAGAAGGGAATGAGAAATTCCCTAATTCCCCCTTCTTATCACAATGGCGATTTCAAAAGTTGTCATTGCTCATTAATTTGTTAAATGCCTCATTCCTCGATACTAGTTTGTCAATAACTGTTAACACCAATGAAGGCATAAATCATTATTGGCTCATATTTATTGCTATTCTAATTAGTATACAAATTAGTTATTACCATTTATTACCGCAGGTCTCACAGTAAGCCCTGGACCCGGGACAGCTTTTCTCATTCGTTTTGATGTCTCAGAGATCAAAAACACCATCCGTTCAAATGCATATTTGGGGTATAATGGTGTCAAAACTTAATTGGAGCGCGTTTACTAATGCTTTTTATATTGCGAATTTTTTGTATAGGAATATACCATCAGAGATTAGAGATCTACAGGTATCTCTTCCAGTTTACAAACGTTCGGTAAGCAGTTGGCTGTCGGATATTGGGCTCGATCAGTCTGAGACACTTATCGGTTCAGTATACATGACCTAAAATAATTATAATTATACACAAGTACACCAAACAATATTTAGCGTACATATATCAGTAACTGCAACTCCATTCACTCGACTACCTTTTATTTAGCATTAACTGTTCCTGTAGCTGTCTCATAGCTTAGTTGTAAATAGTTTTTTGATTAATTTAGTTTAAATTTTTAAGAATATTTCTAATTTGTAATAGAGCTCGTCCCGCGCACAGGTCTTTTACGGCCTATGCGGGACTATTGTTCGTATTTTGTATATGTATATATTGTAAAAATGTTTGGAAATAAAGCAGATTTTGATTTGATTTGATTTGATTTGATTTGTGTGCCAATTGGTTACAGATGAAATTCCCAAAAAATAACGTGAATTTAACACCTCCTGTTATTCTTATGGGTATTATGTTAATTGTTTTAGTTAGCTTGTTTATGTATATTGTAACGAGCCAATTTTTTCAAAGATACTTTTTTCCTTCCTCCTTAAACCTTACGACTCCTTTCCGCCGTCCCCAGTCAACTTCCGCCGCACCACACCACCTTCCGCCGCCCCATATATCCTTTCGCCACGGCCTCCGCCCATTTCCCTACCTCACGTCTCCTTTCCGCCGCCCCTAGTCAACCTCCGCCACCCTACATCGCCTTCCGCTGCCCTACCTATCCTTCCGCCATTACCTCCGCCCATCTCCTTACCTTACGTCTCCTTTCCGCCGCCCCTAGTCAACCTCCGCCACCCTACATCGCCTTCCGCTGCCCTACCTATCCTTCCGCCATTACCTCCGCCCATCTCCTTACCTTACGTCTCCTTTCCGCCGCTCCAATCAACTTCCGCCGCCCTACGACGCCTTCCGCTGCCCTACCGATCCTTCCGCCACGATCTCCGCCCATCTCCCTACCTCACGTCTCCTTTCCGCCGCCCCTAGTCAACGTCCGCCGCCCTACATCGCCTTCCGCTGCCCTACCGATCCTTCCGCCACGATCTCCGCCCATCTCCCTACCTCACGTCTCCTTTCCGCCACCCCTAGTCAACGTCCGCCGCCCTACATCGCCTTCCGCTGCCCTACCGATCCTTCCGCCACGATCTCCGCCCATCTCCCTACCTCACGTCTCCTTTCCGCCACCCCTAGTCAACGTCCGCCGTAAAAAAAGGAAAATATGTTTTTGTTTGAAAAAAAAAATAATAAAATCGTTATTTGTTTTTAATTGTTTTGTTTTCTTTTCGTGAAGAAAGTGGTGAGTGTAACGAGCCAATTTTTTCAAAGATACTTTTTTCCTTCCTCCTTAAACCTTACGACTCCTTTCCGCCGTCCCCAGTCAACTTCCGCCGCACCACACCACCTTCCGCCGCCCCATATATCCTTTCGCCACGGCCTCCGCCCATCTCCTTACCTTACGTCTCCTTTCCGCCGCCACTAGTCAACCTCCGCCACCCTACATCGCCTTCCGCTGCCCTACCTATCCTTCCGCCATTACCTCCGCCCATCTCCTTACCTTACGTCTCCTTTCCGCCGCCCTACGACGCCTTCCGCTGCCCTACCGATCCTTCCGCCACGATCTCCGCCCATCTCCCTACCTCACGTCTCCTTTCCGCCGCCCCTAGTCAACGTCCGCCGCCCTACATCGCCTTCCGCTGCCCTACCGATCCTTCCGCCACGATCTCCGCCCATCTCCCTACCTCACGTCTCCTTTCCGCCACCCCTAGTCAACGTCCGCCGCCCTACATCACCTTCCGCTGCCCTACCGATCCTTCCGCCACGATCTGCGCCCATCTCCCTACCTCACGTCTCCTTTCCGCCACCCCTAGTCAACGTCCGCCGCCCTACATCGCCTTCCGCTGCCCTACCGATCCTTCCGCCACGACTTCCGCCCATATCCTTACCTTACGTCTCCTTTCCGCCGCCCCTAGTCAGCTTCCGCCTCCCCACATCGCATTCCGCGGCCCTACCTATCCTTCAGCCACGACTTCCGCCCATCTCCTTACCTTACGACTCCTTTCCGCCGCCCAAGAGCACTTCCGCCGCTCCACATCTCCTTCCGCCGCCCGAAACCATCGATACCAATACCATTATGCCAGTTCCTGATCCTATCCGCGGAACATAACCTCAATTTCAATCCCCATTTGTTTCTATGTTAACTTAGGAACCGTTCAGCTCTCCATGACAGCTGGGTTGCAACTGAGCAAAAACGCACTTCTGCGCATGCGCGACTTT